CAGAAATCCCATTTCTAAAAATCTAAACCACAGATAGGCAAAAAATACAAAAAGATATCCTTGCTTTTTTTTTTTTTTTTTTGAGATGGAGTCTCACTCTGTCGCCAGGCTGGAGTGCAGTGGAGAGATCTCGGCTCACTGCAACCTCCGCTTCCCAGTTCAAGCAATTCTCCTGCCTCGGCCTCCCAAGTAGCTGGTACTACAGGCGCATGCCACCACGCCCGGATAATTTTTGTATTTTTAGTAGAGACAGGGTTTCACCTTGTTGGTTAGGCTGGTCTCGAACTCCTGACCTCAGGTGATCCACCAGCCTCGGCCTCTCAAAGTGCTGGGATTACAGATGTGAGCCACTGGGCCCAGCCCTTTCCATTCTTTTGATAACGGCAGAATGCTCAAAAAATGAAGACATGTCTAAAGAACATGGAAGGCCAGGTGCAGTGCCTCACGCCTGTAATCCCAACACCTTGGGAGGCCGAGGTGGGTGGATCACCTGAGGTCAAGAGTTCAAGACCAGCCTGGCCAACATGGCAAAACCCCATCTCTACTAAAAATACAAAAAAAAACAGCCATGCATGGTGGTGTACACCTATAATCCCAGCTACTCAGAAGGAGGCAGAGGTTGCAGTGAGCCGAAATCACACCACTGCACTCCAGCCTGGGCAACAGAGCCAGGCTCCATTCCAAAAAATAAATAAAAAATAAAGAATATGGGAGCCAGCCTGAATGAGCTTCACCTGGCCAAATCTGGGACAATTTAAGCATCAAAACAAATCAAGGTAATAGATAATAACCCACTGATGACAATAAAGACGGCATAATGGATTATCACTCTTTGAACAGAATGACAACTAATACTAATCAATAAACAAATGAGGACTATGGATAAGTTCTCCCTTAAGATAAAATGTTAACTAATAAATGGAGACAGAATAATATAGTTTAAAAATCACCATTTTGCAACCATCACTATAATAAGCAATTGAGGCAAGAATCACAGTGGGCCAGGCACAGTGGCTCACGCCTGTAATCATAGCACTTTGGGAGGCCAAGGTGAGTGAATCACTTGAGATCAGGAGTTCAAGACCAGCCTGGCAACATGGTGAAACCCCATCTCTACTAAAAACACAAAAAGTTAGCCAGGCATGGTGGTTCATGCCTGTAATCCCAGCTACTTGGGAGGCTGAAGCAGGAGAATCACTTGAACCCAGGAGACAGAGGTTGCAGTTAGCAGAGATTGTGCCACTGCACTCCAGCCTGGGCAAGAGAACAAGATTCCGTCTTTTAAAAAAAACAAAAAAACAATAGTCACCAATGGATGCTTAAATCTAATGGATGAAAGTTTAAGAATACTTACATAAAATACTTCCCCACAAATGACTTTTTTTTGAGACGGAGTCTCACTCTGTCGCCCAGGCTGGAATACAGTGGCCCGATCTCGGCTCACTGCAACCTCCGCCTCCCAGGTTCAAGCAATTCTCCTGTCTCAGTCTCCCAAGTAGCTGGGACTACAGGCGTACACCACCACGCCCATCTAATTTTTGTATTTTTAGTAGAGACGGGGTTTCACCATGTTGGCCAGGCTGATCTCAAACTCCTGACCTCAGGTGATCTACCACCTTGGCCTCCCAAAGTGCTGGGATTACAGGCATGAGCCACTGCGCCCGGCCAAATGACTTCTTAATTACAAAGGAAAACAGTAACTGAACAGTGAAGAAACCTCATGGACATCACCCTCTCCAAACGATCCAAGTGGACCTCATCAAGAGTGAGGCAAGTCCCTCTTAAGCCTTTTGATGGAATGCACTAAGAAGGATCCACAGGACTTCTGTGGAGTCCTGACAAATATGCATTTCCTGTATCTATCACAGAGAAAGACTAGGTAACAACTGGCTATCAAAAATGTCAACATCTTGAAAGACAAAAAAAGGCTAAGGAATTATTCCAGATTAAATTAGACTTAAAAGACATGACAACCACCATATGCAATGTATGACGCTAGATGGGGAGGTCTTTTATGGGTGATATTCCATAAAATACAAGAATCTGTATTGTATATAGGATACCACTTGTATGTATGTTAAATTTTCTGATTTTGATGATTAGTGTGTGATTCTAGAAGAGAAAATGTGTCCTCAGAAAGTAGACATTGAAGTATTTTGGTATAAAAGGAAGTGATGTCTGCAACTTACTCTCAAACAGTGCAGGAAAGTAGTAATAATATGTATGGACATACAGACTGTGACAAAGCAAATGTTAACAGTTGGTAGAACTGGAAGAAGAGTATACAGTAGTTGTTTGTTCTCTTCCAGCTTTCAGTAGATTTGAAATTATTTCAAAGTAAGTTGAAAAATGCAAAAGACTTCATTTAAAAAGTTTGGCTCAGAGAAGTGAGACCGGAGTTGTGAAATATTCTCTGAAAACCCACTACGCAGCCTAGTCATCCCTTTAAATAGATGAAGCTTTATTTTTGGATTCGGCAGATCCCTTTGTCCATATTATCCTGGTCCCCAGCACACCAGTGCTCACTCAGTCTCAGAGTTTAGCAGAGGAGGATTCAAGGATACTGGGATGAAATTTATTTGTAAAAAATACTGTTTATCACACTGTCCAATAAATCATTAGTGCCCACTATGTATAGCTCAACATTAACGTTTTTACAATATAGTACTACAAAAAAGGCTTTTTTCACCCAAGAAACAGATATTTCTCTTGATTTCTGATGACAGAAATTACATAACTATGACTCTTACGATGATGTTGGATAGGAAGACTAAGCTCAAATGTGCGGACAACTTCAGCAGCCACTGGGCTAAAGCTCAGGGTGACTTCCTAGGTCCCCTCTTTTCCTTTGGCTTGGTTATTTTTATCTGAATTTTACCATTTTTTTTTTCCTATTTTGAGGCAAAACTGAAGCCAAAAATCATTTTAGCTCTCTGGGAAATACAAGATGTGCTCAAGCTGGAAAATTCGGGCTCTTTCAGGCTCCTTCTGGCCATACACTGGCTATGGGGAATTCATACGGGGACTCCCTGCCACCGTTTCTAAGTCTTGACACCAACTTCTGAAGCATGACTTTGGGCCACAAAACAGCGATCTATAGAAGCTGAATCTCCAAGTGAGCCAAGCTACATTAATCACTTACCTCAAAAGGTCAAAACTGAGCATGACATTTTGGGTATTTATAGCAAGAGAGATGACTAAGGTCCATGACTTACTAATATGAAAGGTAAGACAACTCTTGTGAGCATTATTTTATTGCTACTATGAAGAAATCCTTTATACTTCAATAGTTCTGCAAGACCAAAAATACAAAGCAAAAATCTCACATGCAAATATGGAAATGGAAAATCCTTTCACCTGCTGGTTTCATTCTTGACACAATCAGACCTGAAGGGACATGAGGTGAACCCACGGCGGGGGCGGGGGGGTATGAGTTAAGAGGAGTTGTAGAATCAACAACACTGACTTTGTCTTGTTAAGTTTTAGGTAGAAAAGCAAGTTCTAAAATAAACAGCTACAAAGGTTGATATGATGTGTATTTCAAAAAGAACTCATACAAGCAAAGAGGCAGATTTTTTCAGTCCACAACCACTTCTGGTCGCTTCAGCAGCAAAAAGGAAGGAACTACCAGTAGGAGATGGACTGTGGCAAATTAAAGACGGCACCCCCACAAGGTTGTCAAGGAAACCAAACCGAATGCATTTTTCTATAGAAAAGAATCAAGGGTAAGGTGAACATGCCGTGGAACATTCTGTGGCAAAAAAATTATTAAAAACCCTTCTTGAAAAAATCTCTAAGAGACCAAATTTACTTCCACGCTATTTTACTAAGCACTACATCCATAACGCAAGCAGGCAGGCTTGTATTCCCAAACTACCAGCTACATGGATTCAGCAAACAGCTTACTACGACCAGCTAACTTGGGTCACCGATATTTCAGGGCATTTCCTACGATCTATCTGTAATAGCTTAACGGCATCGATGTGGTCACACTCAAAAAGTTAAAAACAAACAAAAACCTGTACCACAATTCCACACACATGCTTTCCCAAATTTAGGGTGTTTTTCAAAATGGAGTCTTTTTAAACACATCATTTTTCAGCGAAAAGGCAAATCTATGCAAACCAAAGCGAGAGCTTGGCCTGAGTGTGCCATTTCATACTGGAAAAGCGCAGGGAGGGCAGTAAAAAGGGTGTCAAGTTGGGAGATCGATGCAATTCTCTCCACAAGTAGGTGGTAAAGAATCCTCAGCCAGGAGGAATGACATGCACACGCGGGCACAGAACGAGGGCCAGTGCTGAGAACGCTGGAAGGCAGGGACACCGTTCGCTAGGAGGTGACTGACGTTAAAGGATCTGCAGTGATCTGTGCCTCACGCTGGCGAATATTCCTAGTAGGGGAGATCCCGCGCTCCCGGTGCCCCTCAGGGTGTCCACCCCGGGGGCGGCCGGAGCCGGGCTGCGGGTCCAGGGACCCGGCCACGTGGGCGGGGGAGGCGAGGAGCGCCGGGCTCGCTCAGAGTGGGCACCGCGTCCCTCCCCTCCGTGCTTTTCCTCTTGTGGCCCTTCCCGGCGGGGAAGAGAGGGTTTTACGACGTCAAGGAAAGGCTTGGAGGGAAGCGGCGGCCGGCGCCCCACCTGCCCAGGTAGGTGGTCGCGGGGCTCAAGCCCGGGGCGACGGACATAGCTCGACCTCCAGGTGAGGCGGACGCCGGGGGCCGGGAGCGGGGCCGCGGAGGAGCGGGGGTGGGCGCCGAGCGGCTCTTACCCGGTGCCACAGTCCACCACGCAGGGAGGCAGGGAGCCCGCCATGCTCGGGACGCGCGGCGCTCGGCCCCGCCGGCCCCCCGGGAGCGCCCCGCCGCTGTCCGCTCGGCCGCCCGCTCGCCCTGCGCGCCGCGTCTCCCGGGAGCCTCCGCAGCGCCGCCGCCAGGAGCCCGGATGCTCGGCGGCCGACACGTGACGTCACTCCGGGTTGGCCAATCAGAACGCGCGTGTGCCCCGCCCCCTCCCCTGGTGCGCCATCTTTAGTGCTGGCAGCGAGGCTTCTTGGCCCCACACGTTCAACGTTGCTGCTGGAGAGATTGGGGTTTATTTTTAACCGACTTACATGAACGTGACCCCATTTCCGAGACCTGGCGCCTTTCTCATCCTGTAAGTCTTCGCTCGAATGTCACCTTGCGAGGGAAGTTGTTCCTGATCACCCTGACTAGGTCCCCTACCGGTACTGTATCCTCTGTCTCAACAATCTGTTGGTTTCATTCCTAACCCTTAAAGCAAAGTGTTTATATTTTTATATTTATGTATTTGTAGTCTGTCTCCCCTACTGGACTATCAGATCTTCTAGGATAGGGCTTGAGTCTGTCTTAATAACTATTGATGAGCAGCAGGTGCTTAGCACAGTATTTGGTGTATATGTGGAAGTGTCCAAATGCTTGTTGAATGACTGAGTAACCTTCCCCATATAGCAAAAAAAAAAATTAATTGGAATTGCCTGGGCGCGGTGGCTCACTCCTGTAATCTCAGCACTTTGGGAGGCTGAGAAGGGCGGATCACAAGGTCAGTAGTTCCAGACCAGCCTGGCCAACATGGTGAAACCCCTTCTCTACTAAAAAGACAGAAATTAGCCGGGGGTGGTGGCAGGCGCCTGTAATCCCAGCTGCTCGGGAGGCTGAGGCAGGAGAATCGCTTGTACCTGGGAGGCGGAGGTTGCAGTGAGCCAAGATCGTGCCATTGCACTCCAGCCTGGGCAACAGGGCGAGAGTCCATCTCAAAAAAACAAACCAAAAAAAAAAATTAGTTGGAATTATTATACTTAACACTGCCTAAATTTTTCTCAGAAGAAAAATCTGCAAAACAAATGCTTGGACAGCCTTAAGGAATGAATGACCTTAGACTGAGTAAACCACACCAAGATCACTCCTGGAAAATGTTTTCAAGTGTCAAAGATGGGATGATTGCCCAAAAGTTCTTACCGAAACCAAAGAAGGCAAACACCACCTACGATATTATAAAGTTACTGAAAGCCCCACTTGCCACTTGCTTCCTGCTTCTTGCCCGATCGTAAATTCTTGATACTAATTTTTTAGGAGCTTTCTGGAAACATGTCATTTTTTTGTTTTGTTTTTTGAAACAAGTCTCACTCTGTTGCCCAGGCTGGAGTACAGTGGTGCAATCTCAGCTCACTGCAACCTCCGCCTCCCAGGTTCAAGCAACTCTCCTGTCTCAGCCTCTTGAGTAGCTGGGATTACAGGCACCCACTACCATTTCCGGTTAATTTTTTGTATTTTTAGTAAAGACAGGGTTTCATCATGCTGGCCAGGCTGGTCTCAAACTCCTGACCTGGTGATCCGCCTGCCTCGGCCTCCCAAAGTACTGGGATTACAGACATGAGTCACCACGCCCAGCTGAGACATGTTGTTTTTACAGGTACTTAAAACGTTGTGTTTTTTACCTAGAAGTAATAGATATGTTGACCACTCCTAGGTAACCCATTATCATTTCTTTTTTTAACTCATAAGTACCCATTAAGGCCCAGACCTAGAGAATGTTCAGGAGAACTAAAGAGAGAAGTAAATGGGAGGAAAATAAAAGGGAGTAAGTGTGGAGGAATCCCAGTTTAGGAGTCCAAGGCTGGGGTCAAAGATTGGCTGACTTGCTTTGTGTTTTACCAAAGCCCTGCCTTGCTCCCTTTTCTTTTTCTTTTCTTTTCTTTTTGCTTGTTTCTTAGAGATAGGGTCTCACTATGTTGCCCAGGCTGGAGGGCAACGACTGTTCACAGGCACAATCCCACTACTGATCTGCATGAGAGTTCTGATCTGCTCCATCTCTGACCTGGGCCAGTTCACCCTTCCTTAGGCAACCTGGTGGTTCACCGCTCCTGGGAGGGCGCCATATTGATGCCAAACTTAGTGCAGATCTGTCATTCTGGGTGGCACAGAACTCCTGGGCTCAAGGGACGCTTCCACCTCAGCCTCCCGAGTATCTGGGACTACAGGCAAGTGCCACTGCTCCCAGTCCAACTCCTATTTTTTCCATGGTCCTGGCCTAAACATAGATTAATTCTAAATTACAGACTGTTGACACTGCTATGTTTTTTATTTTATTCACTTAACAGACATATCAAGCGCCTGCTGTGAGTCAGGCTTTGTGTTAGACTGAGCATGCAGCAGTAAACAGGATGTTCAGAGTCTCTGCCCAGGAGAGTCCACTGGGAGACAGCAACAGGAAACAGGCAATTACAATACCATGTAGTCAATGCGAAGACAGGGCAAGTCCAGGGTGCCCAGCAAGCCATAGAGGGGCTGACTTGGGAATCAGTAGAGACTTCTCAAAGCAATGGTATTGAAGCTGAAACCCAGAAGGTGGGCAGAGAGCAGCTAGGTGGAGGAGACTGTAGGGTGGAAGAGTGTTTCTGGGATGGAAAACATGTACAAAGCCCAGGAAGAAAGATCTCAAGGCTTGTATAGGACCCAGCTACTACACCAGGGAAGAAGCATTTGTAGGAATTTGGGACTGACTAGTAATAAAGGGTGTGCGTGTTCAGGAAGCATCTTCTCTGCATAGGACTTACTGGGATTGATGGTTATGGTCAGCAGCTGGTAGAAAACAAAAGATTTCCTGACCTCAGTGATTTCCTCTAGATACCACTAACACTTGATATATCAAAGATGTTTTGTAGGCAGATATCAGAAAACCTAACTAAAAGTGGCACAAGGAAAGAGCAAATTTGTTATCTCACACAATAGGAAATCCAGTGACTCCAGGATAATTTGTCCACTCGATGGCATCATCATGGGCCTGTACGTTCAGCTCTGCCAGGGCCCTGCATGTTGACGTTTGTCCTCAGCTTATCGCGTGCAGGTTTGAGATGGCTGCAGCCACTCCATGCACCAAAATCATGATGGACAAAAACAGTGGAAGAAATGCCCCATCGTGATGCCCTTTCTCAAAGGGAGTGGGAGGAAATGTTTCCAGAAGTTCCCAGCTGCTTCTCTTCTTGTGTCATTAATCAGCTCTTTTTCTGTTCTTTTTCTGGGGTGGCCATGACAAAGAACAACAAACTGGGTGACTTCAACAAGAGATATTGATGCTCTCACGGTTCTGGAGGCCAGAAGGCCAAATCCAAGTGTCAGCAAAGCCATGTTCTCTCGAAGACTCTAGGGGAGGATCTGTTCCATATCTTTCTCCCAGCTTCGGATGGCTCCTGGCAACCCTTGGCATTCCTTGGCTTGCAGGTGCATCACTCCATTCTCTGCCTCCATCATCACGTAGCCTTCTCCCGCTGTCTGCATCTTCACATGGCATTCTCCTTATAAGGACATCAGTCATATTGGATTAGTGCCCACCCTAATGACCTCATCTCAACTTAACTACATTTGCAAATATCCCGTTTCCAAATATCACATTCACCGGTGCCAACGGTTAGGATTTCAGCACGTTCTGTAGGAGACACACTTCAACCCACAATTCCAACCTACACCAAAAGCAGTCACTGGATGGTGCATTGATGTTCATAGATATGCAGCACTGCCAGCATCAAATGGTGTTTATCATAAGTTCCTTTGAAAGTGGTGCTGGAATGATGCAGGACTCAGAAGAGTAGTTATGAAACAGTCACCTCTGATGTACTGAATTCACTTAGATTATTGAAGAAGACCCCCTTGGGCTGGAGAGGGGCCTCATCTCCTCTGAAATATATGGCTGCCAACACCTGACTGAAATTGGGTTTGATCAACGAGAAGAGGAATGGCCATTGTGTGAAGACACAGCACTGTCTTGTGAGAACAAAAGAAGGCGGCTGTCTGCGAGCTAAGAGGAGAGGCCTCACCAGAACCCAACTCTGCTGGCATGCTGATCTCAGACTTCTAGCCTCCAGCACTGTGAAAAAATAAATTTCTGTTGTTTAAGCCACCCCGTCAATGGTATTTTGTCATGTCAGCCTGAACAGTCTAAGACAATTCTCTGTATATTCTTCTGTGTTATTCTTCTTAGATTGTATGCTCCTATACATCAGAAACTAATTGCATCAGTTTTGACAGTACCTAAGGCAAAACACCCACAGAAGTATAAACCTCCTATTCTCTAAGAAACACTTCACCAGGCGTCGTGGTTCACACCTGTAATCTCAGCACTTTGGGAGGCCAAGGCAGGTAGATCACCTGAGGTCGGGAGATGGAGACCATCCTGGCTAATACAGTGAAACCCCGTCTCTACTAAAAATACAAAATTAGCCAAGCGTGGTGGCACCTGTCACCAGCTACTCAGGAGGCCGAGGCAGGAGAATCACTTGAACCCAGCAGGTGGAGGTTGCAGTGAGCTGAGATCGCGCCATTGCACTCCAGCCTGGGCAACAAGAGCGAAACTCTGTCTCAAAAAAAAAGCACTTCAAGTACTATCTTTATTAATTATATTGCTAAAGAGGTTTGCCCTCTCCAATATACTTTTTAAAATTCCTGCTACTAAATGCATATTAACCTAGGAATCTTTTCTCTGAGTAGCTCAGCCTGCTTTCTGATTTGTGCCTTAAATTCAACTTGTCATGAGAGAAGTGTTTTAGTTGGCTTTTGTCAGCAGGAAGAAGCATCTCTTTATTGTGTTTCTACGTAACAATGGCCTCCTACTCCACCTGCTGCCAACAGTCAGAAACATGGAAACCAGAACACCTCCCATATACAATTCAGCATCTCCTCTAGCAGACGATGTGACCATTTCCTAACTACCATCCCAAGTACTGCCTTATATCCACACCACTCTCAAATGAACGTGTAATAAACACCATTTGATTCTGGCAATGCCGTATATTTATGCATATCAAGACAGCTTAAGAACAAAATAATCAGGGCTTAGAGATTGTCTATCTAATGGGATTTAGTGCATGAGTCCCCGGACAATGGGATCTTAATGTCCTGCATTTAAGTAGTTGTGCTGGGCCAAGAAGGATAAAGAACACAAAAACTAAAGGCTGTCCTCAAAACCTGCTCACCCAGCAGCTCTGCGAATCTTCAATCTCAGAGCTGTAGGCAAGAGCAAGCTGTGTGTTCCCTGTTGCCATGAGGATGCAAACGAGAAAGGAGTACCAAAAAAATTAGAACCCCGTTCCTTTGAAAGTAGCTGGCATTCTCCTTTAAGAGGAAGGGCCTGTCACTGGACTCAATGGGCCTCGCTGATGTCTTGGCAACAGCAGGAGAAAATGGTCCAAGCAAGAGTTGATTGGCCGGAGTGTGTTGAGTGTGTTCAGAGAGTTAATAACAGACCCCAAACCACAAGTCTTCAGAAAATTACCTAGAGAACTGAACGTATTCAGACCAACTCTGCTATGTTTTGTCTCTGCCAAGGGCAGTAACTCAGACTGTGACCCTCCATGCCCCCTTCTCTTCTTGCTTCCCTCCTATACCACTCAGCTGCCAAGCCCTGGTCATTCAACCCCACCGCTTCCCTTGTGTCTCTGTCCCCTACTTTTCATTCCAACTGTCATTCTTGCTCAACTGCTCAATAGCCTCCCACTAGCCACCCTGTCTCCAGGCTTTTGTCTCTCCAAGACATCTTTCAGGAAAATTATACTGCTATGAGGGACATCATGACGGAATTCCAAAATGTATGTATTATGTCAGTCTTCTTCCCTAAAACCATCAGTGATGTGTTTTTCTTGTGGAATTTGATCCAAACCTTTATTATGGCATTCAAGGTTCTCTAAGATCAGATTCTAAATTACCTTTGCAATCTCATCTCACATTATGCCCACACACTGTTCTTCAAACCCTCTGTATTTGTCAGGTGTTTGTACAGGGCTCTGAGTCTAGAACATTCCTCACCTACCTCATTCTCATCATCCTTCAAAACTCTGTTCAAGGCTTCCCTCATCCTTCCAATTTCAATTCACATCCACTTCATTTATTCATTCAACAAAGTAGGCTGAGTGCTTTCATGTGCCGCTCATTAGAATCAGTCACTGGTTCTATGCCCGCTACTCAGAATCCAGAGATGAAATCTGGGGAGCTGCATTTTAATAAGTTCATCCACTCTATCAGACAATATTTAGGGTTTGAGAGATAAACATAAAATTCTAAGCCCCGCAACTGACTGAACAGACTCCCTCTTGGCCAAGGGGACCCCAGAGAAACCTTGAAAGCTGAGTTCCAAGCCATAATGGGGTGTGATATGGTTTGGCTCTGTCCCCACCCACATCTCATTTTGAAATGTGCTCCCATAATTCTCAGGTGTTATGGGAGGGACCCGTGGGAGATAAGTGAATCATGGGGCAGTTTCCCCCACACTGTTCTCATGATAGTGAATAAGTCTCACGAGATCTGATGGTTTTATAAGGGGAAACCCCTTTCTCTTGGCTCTCATTCTCTCTTGCCACTGCCATGTAAGAAGTGCTTTTCACCTTCTGCCATGATTGTGAGGCCTCCCCAGCCATGTGGAACTGTGAGTCCATTAAACCTTTTTATCAGCTGGGCACAGTGTCTCACGCCTGTAATCCTAGCACTTTGGGAGGCCAAAGGAGGTAGATCACCTGAGGTCAGGAGTTTGAGACCAGCCTGGCCAACATGGCAAAACCCCATCTCTACTAAAAATACAAAAATTAACCAGGCGTGGTGGCAGGTACCTATAATCCCAGCTACTTGGGAGGCTGAGGTGGGAGGATCGCTTGAACCCAGGAGGCAGAGGTTACAATGAGCTGAGATCATGCTATTTCACTCCAGCCTGTGTGAAAGAGTGAAACTCCATCTCAGAATAAATAAATACATACATACATACATACATACATACATACATACCTATTTACCTTCCTAGTCTCAGGTATGTATTTATCCGCAGCATAAACACTGACTAATACAGGGTGAGAGGCTAGACTTGGCTGGTTACACCCCCTCCCTTTCTAACTGCCTTTTGACTTTCTTCCCTAAAGGTAAACAGAAACCAGGCCTTTCAAAGATGCCACCACTGAGTTCAGTCAAAGACTGGACTGCCACCCTTCCCTTTCTATGGTGTGTACACAACTGAACATCATTCCTTCCTGATAAGAGACCACCAACCACAGAGCAGTTCTGGCCAGTCTACGGCAGATGCCCTGTGAGGGTTTTCCAGTCCTCTGCTTCACCTTTTGACATCAGAGTCCTGAAAACTCCACCCTGAGATCACACTTTCAATGCCACCATTTTTTGAACATGGGACCCATGGAGAAGCATGAAGTTCAATTGCACATGTGCATGTTTCCCGTCTCATGAATATTCATGGTTCCACCTATAGCTTATTGAATATGTATATTTACACTCCATTCAGTGTAAATCCCTGTCTCTTCTTTCAACCTTCAAAGTGCCTATTTCCAGCTTCTGGCCAGAGGCTACACTTCCCAGCCTGTCAGAATGGGCCCCCTCCAGGCTGCAGCCTTTTTTGAGAAATAAAGCTCTCCTTTCCAAATATATGAACCTCATCATTCTTCAGCTGACAGTTTGTAACAATTTCCTATTCATTTCTTATGGAGAACTGAGTTACAATAATATCTTCATTTCCAAAGCATTTTCAGCACACCATTACATTTAATCTTCATAACATTCCCACGAGGTAGATATTATAAATACCTCTCTTAATCGAATAAGAAAACTGAGGCTCATACTTTGAAAATTAGCCTAGATTAAAATTTAATTTTGTTCTGAGCACCTTCTCTAGGCTCTCTTGAGAAAACAGGAGCCGCTAAAGCATTGCAAAACCAGCATCTGGTAAACATAGGTATAATAGGTGTTAGAGCCAGAAGGAATCTCAGTGATCAGTCCTTCAGACTAACCCAATCCTTTTATCATTTTAAATACACTTTTCTACTTTTGAGCTCTTTACCTTGAATGTTGTCTATTTTCAGTAACAAATGACCATGAATTCCCGTCACGCAATCACTATATGTCCTAGAGACTGAGTGGTATCCAATAAAAATTAAATTATTTTGCCAATAGGGAGGGAAACTGCTGAGTAGCGTAAATTGGATTCCAGGCAATCTGGACACAGCGTACTGCCAAAAACTAGGTCCAAATGTTTCTTGCCATTGTGCAATCTCACAAGCAACAGGTTTTGGAGGAGCTGGCTTTCCAAGGGTCTCTCCTCTCCTTACTGATGTTCATTCTAGAACATTATCAGAAGCAGGACAGCAGGAATTCTCATGTAATTATAGTAGAATGAATAAAGCAAGACTATGTCATTACAAAAATATCTTCACCAGATATTAACTTGGTCCTTTCCAGCAGAAGTTGTGCTGGGAAACAAGGAGGTCACAGTGAATGGGGTGGAGCAACAGAGCAGGCACAGGATGGAGGAGGGTAAATGGGAACCCACACTTGCTGCCTTGACTGTTTCATTCAGCAGAACCTCTTGTTGCAACAATGTGTATCTGAAAACTGGGTGCAAAGTTACAATATGTTTCTGAGAAAAGGCCTTTTATCAGAGGAATACCAGTCTTTTTCAACTACCAGGCCCAG